ACACACACATGCACACACACACAAACACACACATGCACACACATGCAAACACAGGCACGCAAACACATACATATGCACACACACAAACACAAACACTCACACATGTATGCACACACACCTAGACTCATGGTGTCCCCGTTTCTTGGAGTTCACATAATAAATACTTGGTGAAAAAGCCTCTATACAATGAAATACATGTGTAAGATTGATGGGGGAAGGACATTGGTTAATTATAATAAAGAAACTGCCTCGGCCCTCATAGGACAGAAAATTAGGTAGGCGGAGTAGACAGAAGAGAATTCTGGGAGAAAGAAGCTTAGTCGAGGAGTCGCCATGATTCTCCCACTCCAGACAGACGCAGGTTAAGATCCTCCCTGGTAAGCCAGCTCGTGGGCTACACAGAATATTAGAAATGGGTTAGAACAATATGTAAGAGCTAGCCAAGAAGCAGCTGGAACTAGCCGGGCCAGGCAGTGTTTGAAAGAATACAGTTTCCGTGTAATTATTTCGGGCATAAGCTAGCCATGCGGGCGGCCGGGTGCCAGGGACGCAGCCCCGCCGCTCCTATTTCAACATAAGATGGTACTGGATAATGTATTTTCTGAAAAGTAATTAGGAAAAATGAGTAGAACCACTTTGCATGTAATATTGAAGAAATAAACGACTTTATCTCCTACTTTAAAGAAAAACTAATTTTTTCAATAAAGCAAGCTATTGTTGTGTATGTTTACATAATAATTCTGACCTCATAAATGACGAGTATGTAAGTGTAGAAATAAGATCTGGGTTAAGGTATTATACCCCCAAGTTTCCTCAGCCTAAACAAGTGTTCCTTTGAAGGGGGAAGAAGCCACATAAAATAAACCCGAATTAACCTAACTATGCAAGCAACTGATTCTACCACAAGGTGGCAGCACATCCCCACCGTAGCGCCACTAACAGGCCCCAGTGTCCAAAGGAAACCTTGACTTGAGTGAGATTGCTCCCTGGCCACATTATAATCCATTGTGTGTGTCCTTTCTCTACCCTAGAACCTCCAAATTGTGGTTGGTGCTTAAATAACTGACCCCAAAGAGAAATAAAATAAGCCTTTGCCAAAACTCCAAACTCTCTCTGACTGACACTAACCTTTTAGGATCTTCCCTTGTCTAACCTCTTGACAGCAAGATACTTGGGATAGATGATGTCACATATATTTTAACTGAAATTATTTTGTTTGCTTTTGCTATAAAATCACTGGATAGTTTTGATAATATTGTATTATATAAGTAGATAAACATTTGCTTCTTTAAAATCGGTTTCCTTTTAAGACGGAACCCTGTCAAGTTACTAACTTTCTTGAACCTGGGGTGTTGTTACATTCTAGACTTTCAGTCCTGTACTGGCTGTTTTTATGTCAACTTGACACACGCTAGAGTTATCAGAGAGGAATGAGCCTTTTGAGGAAAGGCCTCCATGAGATCCAGCTGTATCGTTTTCTCTCAATTAGCAATCAAAGCAGGAGGGCCCAGCCATCTGTGTGCTCGTGGTCCTGGTTCTTTAAGAAAGTGGACTGAGCAAAGCCATGGAAAGCAAGCCAGTAAGCAGCACCCTTCATGGCCTCTGCACCAACTCCTGCCTCCAGGATCCTGCCACATTTGAGTTCCTGTCCTGACTTCTTTCAGTGATGAACAAAGGTGTCGAAATGTAAGCCAACTTGCTTACACCTCCCTGCTTGCTTTTTGTTTTGTTTTGTTTTTTTGTTTGTTTGGGGTTTTTTTTTTTTTTTCAAGACAGGGTTTCTCTGTAGCTTTGGAGCCTGTCCTGGCACTAGCTCTTGTAGACCAGGCTGGCCCGCTTGCTTTTTGGTCATGGTGTTTTGTCACAGCAAAAGAAACCCTAAGATAAGTTCTAACCTAGTCTTGAGCATGTCCACCAGGATGGCAAGTCTCCCTAATCCACTTATTAACATTGGGGCTTGTGTGGATGTGTACCATGTGACAAGCCAGACAAAACGGCAGACTTGTGAAAGCTACCCTGCTCTTCCTGCCCCCTTGTCCTTCAGCACAGTCCACACCCATGAACACTTTGCGTAAGGCAGAATGCTAAGGAGTGAAGGGAGCAGGCAAAATCACCTTGGCCTGAGAACAGCCATTTTGACATCAGACACCCATTATACCTGCGGCATAAAATAAAGTTAGGTTCCCAAGACCTAGGGGAGCTGAGAACTTTCCAGCGGCCGATCAGCGTCCTTCTTAAACCATAGAAATAGTTATTAGGCATCTTTAGTTCTTTAGAAGCATGGCTGCTCCTAACAACAGAAGGAACAAATGGATCTGATTGGTTGGACCGAATGCCTTGCAATGTATGTCAGTTGGCAATGATGGAAACCCCAGGAAAGTTCCTAATCCTTAACTTCTGATTGGTGAAAACTGTAACTGTAACTTGACAATTTTTTTTTTAATCTTTATGCTTAAAATCCCACTTCTGGCCCTGTTTGGAGCTGTCAAAAGAAACAAGGTTCCTGAGTTCTTGTCCCTATAGCCCTGATGGATCAGTGACCCGCTTATGTGATGATTTAATGAAATCTTTGGAACCCCTAAGTTTTGTCTTTCTCCTTCCTTGTGGTTCATAATGCGCTAGGTGTAACACCACCAAATCAACTAAGCAGGGCCCATATGAGCTCACAGAGACTCACGTGGCAAGCACGGGGCTTGCATGGCTCTGCACCAGGTCCTCTAACAGCCATAGCACTGTTAATCTGGTGGCATTTGTGCGACTCCTAACAGTGGGAGCAGATGTGTCTGACTCTTTCCTGCTCCCAGGACTCTTTTCCTCCTATTGTGTTGCCTTGTCCAGTCAAGGCTTTTGACTTGTCATATTCTATCTTGTTTTATCTTGTCTGGCTATCATTTCTTAGAGGCCTGACCTTTTCTGAAGAGGAAACAAGCGAAGTGCATCTTGGGTAGAGAGGAGGTAGGTGGGAGCTGGGGAAAGTAGAAGAAGGAGAAACTGTGGTTGGGATGTATTGTATGAGAGAAAAATCTATGTTCAACAAAATAAATAAAAATGAAGTCTTACATGAGTGCTCCAATAATGTAACTTATACTTTATATATCCCCTTTGATAATTGACCACAGTGCATAATACACTTAGAGTCATCATTATGTAACTTGAAATGTATTCGTTATACTAACCTGGAAAGGAATTTTCAGCAACCTTGCCTGTCTAGCCCCACTGTAACGCAGTATCACTGTCCCTCTCTTTGAGGAAAAGATGCTAAATCTGGTCTACTTGGTGTTAGTTCACCCTTTCAGAAGAAAAAAAAAATGGATTGACTTGGGCTTTGAAAGAACTTGTCTAAATGACAAATGCCATTAACTTGTAGATCTCCTTTGAGGACTATTCTGGACAGGATCTGAATAACTGCTCTCCTTCTCTCTTCTGATAAGAAAGCAAACAAGAACACGGACTCTCGGAGCTGCTGTTCTAGGCAACTGCTAGGCAGACCCATAGTCTAAGGAAAGTACTGGACGAGACTTGCAGGAGCCAATGGCCCCAGTAGGAGGGGACTGGCCTAAGCTATTCTGGAACAAGCAGTATGAACATCGCAGCTTAAGGCCTGAGATGTAATAATTTCTCAAAGTTGATCTTGAAAACAAAATTACAGAAGGCCCTCCATCCTTTCTACACCAGGGTCACACCCTCCACTGCAGCACCCTTCATTTTTAAGGGCTTTGGTCACCCAAGTGTTTAATATTAAAGATCTCTACACATTCTTCTGTCCTGAAAGGCCAGCCCTTAGCAAATTCTGTATCAGAGTCAGATATCTGACTGTGGCCTCTGCCGTATGGAAGCACAGCCTGATCCTGGAGCCTGTTGAGTCAGAGCAGAACCCTGTCTGAAATTACAAGAGGAGACGAGAGTTAACAAGGACAGAGTGACAGGTCTGGGGGCTTCTGAGGGTGTCAAGGGGAGCAGCCAGTAAGGCTTTGTCTAAAGAAGGTTTTCATCTTGTGTTTGCTTCTTTAGTCCAGTTTATCGACTCCCCATCCATAAAGTGTTTTGTAGATGCTGATCATACCCTCCCTGCCTTTTCCTTCTGTCCTCTAGGGAGGTCTGACACACATCTCTCCTGGATTTTCCTCAGTGACTTCTTCCCAAACTGTTGCTGCTGCTGGACCATCTGTCAGGCTTCCAGCATCTGCATCTCTCTCTCCCAGCAGGATGGGGACTCAGCCCAGGGATGATGCTGCAACCACAGTGGAACCGTGAAGCCAACGAAAGGGCCAAGGAGAAAAAAGCTTATTTTGAGACTCACAGAAGAAACTCCAGGTATTTGCTCAAGATTCAGATAACCAAAATATATATGACAGAATCTATGAAACATAAATTTATTTTAAGGAGCTAATCCTCACCCCTAGTGATCATGAATTATGCCCTCCATGAAAGAACTATAAGGGGCTGCCATCAAATATGTCCAAACATGCTGAAGATCACTGAATAAAACCTTTCTAGTTTCAGATATAAAACAATGGAATTCAGAGTTGAAGATGAAGGGGCCTTTACATACCCTCCTCCTCACCCATGATTTCAACACTTAAGTTTGACCAACACAAAATTAAAGTGATCCGACAAAAAAATGCATCATTTTGAATATCTACAGACTTTTTCTTGTACTTACTAAATAATAAAGTTTAGCAACTATTTGCTTAGCACTTATATTATATTAACTATGATATGCTATCAAAAGATATTCAAAGTATATAAGCTTTATACAAATACTACACAAATAAGAGTAAAGAAATTATGCGTTGCAGAGTTTGATAGCCCTGGGTAAGGTCTAGAACTAAACTTTCATGGATACAATGGGGCAACTCTGTGTGCATGGATGTGTGTGTGTCTGTCTGTCTGTCTCTGTCTCTATCTTGTGTCTGTGAGTGTCTGTATGTCTGTGTGTGTCTGTATTGTATGTGTCTTTGTGTGTATTTATGTATGAGTACAGCACACATACACATAAATATGATTGGGTAAACTAGAAGAGTTAATGTTTACAGAATTAAGATCTTTTAAGAAGAACAGGGGTTCAAATAAGGAAAGACATCTATTGTTGTTGATGGCGGTCTTAACTGTAGTTGGACCTTGAATGTGACTGAAAAAAAAATGCAAAAAGTGATCAACAACAGAGAAGTAAGAATTGTCATTAACACTAAAAGGAATAAGCCAAATTATTTCTAAGTGATTTGAAGATGTCAAGAGAAATAAAAGTAGGTATCCAGTAGGAAAACTGTTGAGTAAGGACAATTATATGGATTCCATGCAAAATAAAATAAAATAAAAGCACGTAGGAGCAGAATATCTGAGCCAGGAAAATCCAAAAGCAGAGCCTGCATCAAATTGGTTTTATGTGTTATCAGAAAGCACTTGTCCTGGGGGGTATGGGCTATTTTGTGGGGAAGGATTTGACATACAAAAGTGCATCCTTAATTCAATATAAATTAGAAAGCCTTTGCAATTCCTACTAAGAGGGCAGTTCTGATAAGCTGCAACCAATGAATAAGCGCAAGGCTAAGTACAGCAAGAGGCACCACTATTTTGTGTCTACGTTCCTCCAATCAAATAAAAGAATCACACTCTCAGCTGTTGGGGGTCTGTCCCTCACCCTCTAATCTACCTTTAATCCCACATTGTCCCTAGGGAGAAGACTTGAGGCCTGGCCTCTTTCAGCTTCCAATTTATGCAAATATCTCAGATTATCAGAAATTGTTCTGGCTTCACATCATCAAAATTTCCCTCACAGGTCAGTTTTTTTGTTTGTTTTATAAATGAAGTTATTCAGTAAGTATCTTATGTTTGCTTTTGCTGCAAAAAAAAATTAAAAACTGGGAAAACAAGGGTAATGAAGAAGAGCATTTACCACAATGTTGATGAATATTGGGCTTCCCGAGGGACACTCATCAACTGCAAATAATTCTAGTGCAGTTTTAAAGGAATGTGGGGACATAAGAACTAAAAATCATCTGAACTCTAAAACACCCAGATTTGCAGGTTTTTATCTGCACAAAACAGATGTTCACCGTGAACAGCCCTAAGTAACTAACAAAGTATCAAAATAAATACAAATAAACATCTAGCTCTGTCCAGTAGAATAAGAAACAAAAAAATAATCTTCAAACGTGTGTGTTTGCTTATAGAATTTTTGATATATAACAATATAGCTAATAACATATCTGCACACTTTCCACTAAGATCCCAGTATACTAGATACAGAGTAATTAAGTGATCACTCTTTTTGTTTTCAGAATCCTGTAAATCTGACATTCTCCCCAAACAATGTTATGACTTCGGCAAGCAATTCCATGATGACTCCTGTTTCCTTTTCGTTTTATACCACTCTGTGCCCCTGGTCTCTCATCTATGTCCCTTTCCTATTCTCTCTCCCAAGTATATGAAGGGTTAGAGACCGCTCTCCCTACTCCTAGTCCACACCGGAGGAAATGAAAACAAAAGAGTAGAGCTTCCCCCGCCTGAGGCTCTGCATGGTTGATTTCCATAGGAAACAATCAACTTGACTCTGACGTGCTTGTGTGGCTTTCCGAAGCCGCCAGTTGAGGGGGAGGTGGAAAGTAGGGGTGTCCCTGCCTGCTGCTTTAATGAGAGTCGGAACTGGGACAGTAATCATGACAGATGGCATATGAATATCAGACTGGCACCTTAGCAAAGTTTTTCTTGAGCCTGCTGAGGACAGAGAGGTGTCCAATCAACTGTCTCTGCACCTGACATGCTCCAAGCAAGAAAGAACCCACACCTACCCTGGCTGGTTTGGGGAAAGACTTGCCATCAAAACACGTTTCCTTCCAGAAGCACTGGTTTGTTAGCGCATGCTCATTAGCTGAGCCATTCCTAGAATGGTCACTGTGCCTGACATTGGATCTCTTGGCTCTTCTGGGTAGAAACCTCACAATGTTTTCCCAGGTCAGCAGCACCAAGATCTAACACCTTCTACTATTTGGTAAGCCATGTCAATGCCCCGTCTTAAATGTGTTCCCTTAACAATGTTCTTATATCAAGATAACACAGTCACTTCCAAATGGGGGTTTTGTCCATGGCTTCTTCTTTCAGTAGAGCTTTATATGAAATTCTTCTCTCTTTACAGTTCTGCTTTATCTGAATTATATTTTTGACACGTAAACATTCTTCCCTGGTAATGTATGTTATAATTTGTCCCTCTAATAAGTATACATCTTTAAAAAAAAAAACTCAGAAAAGCTTTATGATGTTTTCTTTTCTGTTTTTAGACATTGTCTTAATTAGTAAATAAGAGTGGCTTCTAATTTTGGAGAATTATCCTGCCTCTGTCTTCCTAGGGCTGGAAGTACAGGCATGTGTTACGCTGCTGTTACAGGCTCATTTTATGCTTTTCATGCTGAGCCTGGATTCTGATGACAATTTTTAAAAATGTCTGTGGAGATGATTTCATTGCTCTCCTTGCTGTCTCTAGAGATTATAGATGTATCTGAAGCATATAATACATTCGTCTTTAGTTAATGCCCAATACAGCAAGCAGAAGCCAATACAGCATTTTCAACAGTGAGTAACGAAATTATGCTTACAGGTTACTATTTGTTTAGTGCATTGTGTGCCTTCTGTTACATAGAAAATACCTCTTATTATTAAAACTGTCTCAAGAGGGCGACAGAGATAAGGAAGACTGAAGCTTAGGTATGCAGCTTACTAACCACTACATAAGTGGTGACCACTAAGAATGGAGCTAGAACCCTGGTCCAACCCGATGAGTTCAGCAGACCTCTGTGTTCCATGAAGATGATGAATTCACCAACACACTTCTCCTGCAACTCCAGATATTTGCAGTTTCTTCACTTCTGAGAGCAGTTTAGGAGATAGGAACCTTTTATGGAAACTTTGCTGTTTCCCTACAAGTTTAAGGTAGAAAATAGGCGAAAATAAAATGTTATAGATTCAACCCAAAATTTTCTTCTACAAAAGAAGTACATGAGGTGTAAATATTACAACTCTATGAAATACTTAAAAATCATAACCAGAAGCCGGGCGGTGGTGGCGCACGCCTTTAATCCCAGCACTCGGGAGGCAGAGGCAGGCGGATCTCTGTGAGTTCGAGGCCAGCCTGGTCTACAAGAGCTAGTTCCAGGACAGGCTCCAAAACCACAGAGAAACCCTGTCTCAAAAAAAAAAAAAAGAAAAAGAAAAAAATCATAACCGGAGGGAAACTTAATTATTAAATGATTGCATACAACAACCGGTCGTGAAAAGAACATTATTAAGGACGAGTGGTCCTTGGTTTTAATTCTCTAGACCAGAGTGAGATGGGTTAAGTTCATTCTGTTCATTCACTAGCCCAATTGAATTAAAACACTATAGTCAGCCTAGATATTTAGCTGTCTTAAACATTATTCTGTAATGTTTTGTGTCCTTCAACATCTTTAATAATTCAAATAGGGGATATCAGAAGTGCCTGAACTATATATAAGTAAGTTTAAAAATTATCTTTTAGATGATTAAAAGTGCATGTAGTGATATCAATGATCAAGGCAAGTTGTGGGCAATAGAATATAGAGTTTGTGGATGTTTTCATTGAGTATTCTAGAGTAGTAAAGTATTGCTCTTAATAAGCTAAATAATCTACTGTTAAGCATGTAGGAAGAGAGGCAGGTGATGGAAGATTTATCAGAAAAATCAGAAACTCAACAGTGGACATCTGGATAGAAGAAAGATACATTCTTGCTCAGAGTCACAGTATCTCTTCAAAAGAGAATAGGAGAAAAATCCAAATTGTTTATCTGTCCGAGCAGTTAGCACAGTTAGCATGGCTGCCCCTGGTCCTTCAGACTAGACAAAAAGCACTACATTGTTTGAATATTTTTTTTAATTAATTGATTTTGAAAAACTTCTCCCTGTTGGAGCTTTTGCAAAACAAAGGCAGATAAACAAAGTTCCATCTTCATCTGAGCCCTATGTTTCTGCAACGCTGAAGGCATTAAACCATAATCCCTTGGGCCTTAGGGAGCTGCCACACTTTGACTATGACCCTTAATCCTCTCTTATAGGTCCCCTAGAGTAAGTGATGCTGTGCTAACGGCTCGGATGGGACTCTGGTCACATCTGGTCCCAGGACTCTATGCTCTGCATAGAAACAGAAGGACAGATAAACAATTTGGATTTTTCTCCTATTCTCTATTGAAGGGTACACCTTATTATGCAATGTGTGTGACCCCCGACTCCGTTTGTCCGCTAATGTGATTATATGCTAATTTGAGTTTTATTTTGCATCTGATTTTCATGCTATTTACTTTATTTTCAAACAAGCTAGGGTCCTCTCAACTATGAGTCCCATCATCCAGTACTGGGCATCAGTCCTTCCATGCTCGGTGACAAAAGAGTAGGTTTTTCTTTTCCTCTCTTTTTATTGCTATTTTATCCATCCTCAAAATGTCATTTGTTCAGACCCTGACAAACATATATCATTGAAAATGGAAATTTCTAGCCAATTTAATATTTTACTAGAGAAATATAACAACCTATCAGTGGATTGTGACTGAATTTGATAGATTTTATTTTACTTTTCTGTTTTCAATAGAAACATAGAAAGTGCATGTTCACTTGCTAAACCTCCAAATGGTATAGTCATTCTGTGTGAGAGATAGAATTATTAGATGTGTTTTAAAGGCAAATTAGTTGAGTTACTGAGAAATGGTATGTTCTTAAAGCTAAAGTGTTAATAAAAAAGCAGGACTGGGATAAGTTTCCTGTCATTTGGTGAATAAAAGTTAAAAATGAAAACACAAAGTACATGAGCATACCAAAATACATTACTATTAAAATAATCTTATCTAAATTCAATGCAAAAGATTGTTGTGCCTCTCAAACCTATACTTTCGGACATCTCAGGTCAGAATAATTATAATCAGAGCAACAAATATAAGAAGGACAAAGGGGTAAACAAAACAATTAGCCATCATTTTTGAAAATTTTATCTTATTTTTTAAAATTGGTTTGCTTGGTTTTTCTCTTTGGAAACACAAAATTCCTTCAAATACATAATTCTTTCATTCTTCTCCGAAACCCTGAATGTAGTGACTATTACAGAACAACTTAAGATGGGTTTAATGCAGATGATTTGAGAAAAGTAACCTAAGAAGTCAGTTTATTAACCAGTTTTAAAAAGATAAAAATGAGGATTGGAGGTACGGTTTAACAGATTACGGCACTTGCTGTTCTGGTAGAGAACCTGAGCTCAGCTCGCAACACCCACATGGCAGCTCATAACCTGTTCTCTCCAGTTCCAGAGATCCAATGCCCTCTTCTGGCCTCTGTGGGCACCAGACATGTAACAGTGCACAGACACACATGAAGGAAAAATACTCGTGTGTGTGTGTGTGTGTGTATAAGCAAATATTTAGAAAAAGTTAAATATATGTAGAACAAGTATGTAAATGTCTCTAACGAAAGGCAGAATGTGATTGGTTTTATTGAAAAGGCCACATAGTGTCATGGATACTTAGGTCTAAAAAGAAAAACCACAAAAACAGAGCCCTACTGGCTTCAAAGAACCTTCTGAGGAAACATCCTTATTGAAAGATAGATGCTAACTGCGCCAGCAGAGAGTACGGCAGAATGGGAACCCATAAAATCTTTAATGGTATAAGTAGGGGTTTCAACAAAGTAAATTATTATTGCCTTCAAAAACCCAAAGAACAGGCTATACCTTGCCAAAACTGTATATACTCTTCAAAAGAGGAAGCAGAAGGGTGGAGGTGGAAGACGCACAGCAGTCAGAATGGGTTCAGATTGCACCTCCATCCAGAAATTGGGGGAAAGAAAGATCAGAGAAAAGTTGCTTTCTTCTGACATGGCCATAAAAAAAGGACAAGAAATAAAACAGTAAAAACCCCTCCTGGCCTAACAGTCATTATTGTGAGCACTGTTGGCCCTCATTGTGTTCATAAGCTTGTGGCCAACCCTAACGGCAGGCCTAGCTAGCACAGATGGGGCTTTTCAACCTAGCCTGACTGTCTATTCTCTGGCTAGCATCAGACTCCAGCCAACACAAAACTCCCCTCTAATGGTAATTGAATCCACACTTTTATAGTTCATTACCTCTCTGATAGATTAGATTAGATTAGGCTGAGCTGTGGCTGCTTTTGCCAATGGTTTGGGTTGGAGCAAAGAAAAGGAGAGGAGGCTGAACTAGGGAGAAAAAATTAAAAAAAGCGTATGACAGAGTGATCTTTCTTTCCAGCCACCAATCTATTTCTTTTCACACCTTCTCCAGCCCATGTGCGTGCGCGTGCGCATGGACACACACATACACCTCTTCTGAATGTCAAAAATCAAAAGTTGTCATAAAATTCAAGAACGAAAGTGATATCTCAGAACTGAAGACAGTCTTGCCTAAACTGCTTTGGTTAAAATGAAGATACTGAAGCTCAGATGAAGAAGGATATTCTCCAGATTCTGAAGCCAGAGACCCCAGAGGTGGTTACCATGAAAATGTACTATACAGGACTATATGCAAGAGAGATTATTGAAGTGAGTTAATTTGACAGACAGGTCCAGTCGTGGGTCTCTGGATGCACTCCTGTATGCAGTGAGGCCACATCAGTCCTGTGCACCCCCAATGTGATTGAGCACAGCACAGATCAGCAGCTGGCAAGACTCCTCCATGGGCAATTTTGACTCAGAGATACTTTATGCTCTGACACAGTCAAAACACCAAGATTTTGAGTTCACTCCCTGTACAACCATCCTCACGTCTCTTTTCCTAGGCACCAGAATTGCCCTATGCTTTCGGGGTTTTCCTTGCCTGTTCAAGCTGGCTTTCCTTTATCCTTCACGGACATCTTCTAACCTTGAACTCCACCCCTTCAAAAAATGATCTTGCTCATCTAGTCCAGTTATTATCTGCTGCTCAATCTCCTAAAGTGATTTCCTTGTTCTCTTCTTTACATTGGCTTAACACCCTCTACACACACACACACACACACACACACACACACACACACACACACACGGTAACATATTTCCTCTATGCAGTAACCTTGGCTTTTTATTTTCATGAACTGAAAGACTTAGAAATTCATTATCATTTTTATGCAGGTCTTCATTTTCTAGGGCCACGGATAAGGGGATTTAAGATAAATCTCCTTAGACAGTGGGAACTGGAGGGTGGTTTCCAAATGTGTTTGCCCATTTGGACCCTGGATGCTCAAGAGCAATAAGCAGGAATCCTATAGAGTGCTCCTGGGGAAGTCCAGGCCCACGGCTTCATCTCGGGAAAGCTGCATTTTCCTAGAGAACGGTTCTCATTGCAATGTTGGAGGGATTCCCTTAGAATTCAAAGAATGGATTATTTCTGCACAAATTCTGATTAAAATGGGTTCCCCAAACCTCAGCCAAAAAGATTAACAACTGCTCAATCTCCTACAACCAGCACATCTTCGTAAATAACTCCTAATCTCCCTACTGTTAGTTTATCTGCCAAGCATTAAACAGAAAGGCTAAACCTAAACTTGTATTAAAAATAATGACATGAGATTTCGTGGACGCCAGGGCATTGAGAGCATCTGCGGAAGCAGATCGCGAGGGTGCGGGTGGGCCTCGTCGGAGTGTTGGGATTTGAGCTGCGGTTCTCGAACCCAGGATCTCGAAATGCATCGTGATTCCTGTCCATTAGATTATAAGGTGTATGTAGGTAATCTTGGAAACAATGGGAACAAGACTGAATTAGAACGGGCATTTGGCTATTATGGACCGCTCCGAAGTGTGTGGGTTGCTCGAAACCCTCCTGGCTTTGCTTTCGTTGAATTTGAGGATCCCCGAGATGCAGCTGACGCTGTGCTGTCCGAGAGCTAGATGGAAGAACACTATGTAGCTGCCGAGTAAGAGTGGAGCTGTCGAACGGGGAGAAAAGAAGTCTGAATCCTGGCCCAGTTCCCTCTTGGGGTCATCGCCCTCGAGATGATTACCGTAGGAGGAGTCCTCCACCTCGGCGAAGATCTCCAAGAAGGAGAAGCTTCTCTCGAAGCCGGAGCAGGTCACTTTCTAGAGATGCGAGAAGAGAGAGGTCTCTGTCTCGTGAGAAACCACAAGCCGTCTCGATCTTTCTCTAGGTCTCCTACCCGATCTAGGTCAAATGAAAGGAAGTAGAAGACCAGTTTGCAAAAGAAGCGGTGTACAGGAAGTAACTTCATTTGACAGGAGTATGTACAGGAAACTCAAGTTTTGTTTGAGACTTCATAAGCTTGGTGCATTTTTAAGATGGTTTAGCTGCTCATGTTCCCTTAAGCAAGACTGAATTTGCTTTGAACTTTAGTTTTTCATAGACTGAAATAAACCTAGATCCTGCCCAGTTAAAGTGTGATGCACTAATGATAAACCACTGATGGAAATTGAAAAAGCTAGTTCCTTAGCTGGATTACAGTCGGGAGCTGTGGGTGTAATGATAAGCAGTCTGTAAAAGCTGCTGTTAACACAAGTTAACAGGGAAAGGGTGGGACCTGCACTCTGAAGACTTTCAAAGAGGTTCCTCGCTGTTTGCTATCTATGGAGGAAGCTGTTTGTAACATTCTTTATTTGGAAATGGAAGACTAAGTTACCAGTTGGTTTAAGGGTACATTGTAGAGCTGAACCTTTGAGTTACTGTGCAAGATTTTTTTTTCATGTTGTCATTTGTAATATGTTTGTGAGAGTCCTTGGGATTAAAGTTTTGGTTACAAAAAAAAAAAATAATGACATGATTCAGCACTCTGGCTCCTGACAGTTGTTAAGCTCGGAGTAAGGGACCTATGAGTCTCTTTTTTCAGCTAACTCTAACCAAGGGTATATGAGCATTTAGAGAAGGAAGTAAAAGGACCCTGCCTAAATTTCAAAATTCCCAAAATCCTCAAAAAAATAGAAATAAAAATATTAAAAAATAAAGAGTTGCTATCATCAGAATAAACATAAAATCCCAAAATAACAAGCACACAGAAGTTCCCAGAGGGATATGAGCTGTGATTGGTCACTGGCTATAATGAGGAAAAGTCATGAGCTTCCATCGTCACACTACGATATTTACAAGTAACCCAACAGAGTGGCTAGAAGAGGAAATTAGTTATCGAAAGGCTGGAATTCGACTCAGCTACTGTTCACTTAGACACCTAGTGTTCTGATTAAAAATCAAAATAATGCTTGCCATATTGCCAACAAGAAGCCATGTGTCAGGTTTTATTAATTATAGTCATGTTATAGGGAAGATAGTTGAAATCCGTTAATGTTTGTCCTTTGTTCTTACTTATAGGAAAAAGGGGAGCCAGACACGCAGTTGCTCAACACCTTTGCAACCGAGACTAAGTTCAGGCCATTGATAATAGTCACAGATTATTGTCTCGCACCATAAGTTTGCCTTGCCCTCTCTATGTCTACCCTCACTACTTAGTCTCTGTCCTCATATGGCTCAAATGTAACCATAAGGGCAGGATCTAGAGCAACAGCTTTTGAGAGTAAATAAAAGCTACATGTTTAAACTGCTGAGAAACTAAGTTTCTGAGTCCTTGGTGCTGTATATATATGTTTTCCCCCAATGAATCTTATTTATTATTTTGAGATTTTTTTTGTTTCTTTTTTTATTTTTTTATTGAGATTTTTTTAATCAGAGAAAAACTAGACTTCTATACTTCTCAAGCCACAATTGTTGGTTTTTGTTTTACAGTTTTTTGCTAAGTAGTCAGACAAGTGCCACAATATATTACTACATAAGTACACAAGTTTTTTTTATTGAGCTCTACATTTTTCTCTGCTCCCCTCCCTGACTCTCCCCTCCACTTCAGCCCTCTCTTAAGGTCCCCACACTCCCAATTTACTCAGGGGATCATTTTTTTTTACTTCCCATGTAGATTAGATCTATATATGTCTCTTTTTGGGTCCTCATTGTTGTCTAGGTTCTCTGAGATTGTGATTTGAAGGATGGTTTTCTTTGCTTTATGTTTATAAACCACTTATGAGTGAGTACATGTAATAACTGTCTTTCTGAGTCTGGGTTACCTCACTCAAAATGCTGTTTTTTAGTTCCATCCATTTGCCTGCAGAAGTCAACGTGTCATTAATTTTTTCTGCTGTGTAGTACTCCATTGGTACACAGTATTTTCATAGCTGTCATTTCAGTAACCCAAGGGTACAGGGACAATTCAAGTTCTCATAAACTATGTAGATCTTAATGAGAGATTCAAATTTTAGCCACAAAGATCAAAAGCTTCTAGAAACCAGAGAACTGTTTTCACTTTCATGCTAATTTAATACAGAGCAAAGTGAATTATAATTTTGAAGTGTCTCTGTATCACAAGTACTTTCATATATGATGGGGTTAGGATTCAGAGGTGAAATGGCTTCCTTTGGTTCGTGTGATTGAACTCCTGGTCCCCAGCTTATGGTGATTATTTGGGAGGGCTGTTGAACTGTTAGAAGGTGGGTCACAACTACTCAGAGGTTCCTGAGGACAGGCCTCTGTGGGTCATAGTAGAGTACTGCCTGTCGTTACTTAATCTTGCTGTAATGAGCTGAACCCTACCATCCCAGACATTGCTGACTGCAATAAGCCACGAAAACCATGAATTAAAATGAACCTGCCATCTCTTTTTTTTCTTCTCTTAAGTACTTTGCCTCAGTAATGAGAAAAGTAGTATGTAGGGACCACCCTTGTCCATGACTTTCCCTTTTACTCATCACCTCCAAGATGTTCTTGTGGTTTTGTTTTTTCGTTTTTGAGAGTTTCATAAAGTGTGTTTTGATCATATTCACCCCTTCTCTGACTCTTTCCAGGTCTATTCCTCTGCCATTCCTCACCCACCCAGCTTCGTGTCCTTTTTCAAGGAAATTAAACGCTATCAATACCAATTTATGCCACCCAAATATTCTTGAATGTGTTATCTCCCACTGGAGTGTGGTCGGCTTTCCAGAGGCTACACTCTTTGAGAAATCCATCTCTCCTTTTCCTGCTAGCTAATAATTGCCAGTAGTTCCATGGCTAGGGGTGAAGTTTTCCGTACATCTCCATGCTGGTCATTTATTTATTTATTTTTGGTCTGTCCTGAGCTTTCACAGTTCTTGTGAATGCCATTGCGGCCGTTATGTCTTCATGAGCGGCTGCTCTGCTGTGTTCTGAAGAGCCTGCTTTCATGTCGTCATCCTTCACCTCTGGCTCTTACGCTCTCTCTGTCCTCTTTCTCTAACGATGCCTGGGAATTCTAAAGTCTCTTCTCTACACCTGGGCAAGCTGTGTGTCTCTGAGTTCATCTCCCTCTACTGAACATAGAGGTTTCTCTGATGAGGGCTGAGGGATGCATCCATCTATAACCATGACCATCTCATTAGGAGTCAGTTTAGTGTTCTGTCTATTTATCCAGAATAATAGCTGTTTCTCCCCTAGGGCCTGCGACTGTTCTGGTCATGGGTTCCACGGCATTCTTTTTCTACAAACATTTGGCCTCTTTAATTCCCAAAGAACACCTTTCTTTTCTTATCTAACTACATGACTCTTTCCTTTTTTTCTTCCTATTCCACTGTTTCCCCACCTTTTCTCCCCTTACCTTGAAAATATTATTATTAATCTATTAAATTACTATTGTCAGTTTATAACCTCGGGAAAAAAAATTAAGTTTACTGTTTCTGAGGTTCTTACCTAAAACATATACACCATGCTCACCATAATGTTTATTTTAATTTGTCTTTTTTGCTGTGATAAAACATTTACCAAAACCAACTTGGGAAGAAAGGGTTTTTCTAGCTTACACTCCCAGGTCACTGTCCATTACTGAGGGAGGTCAGTGCCGGAACCTGGAAGCAGGAACTGAAGCAGAGACCACGGAGAATGCTGCTTACTGCATCACTTCCTCTTGCTTGCTCGGCTACCTTTCCTGTGCATTCTGAGTCCATCATCTTAGGGGGATAATACTGTGCACAGCAAACGTGGCCCTCCCACATCAATCATTGATCGAGAAATTATCCCACAGGCAGGCCCACGGGCCAATCAGATGAATAAATTCCTCAACTGAGGTTCCCTCTTCCCAAGTGACTCTAGTTTGTGCCAAGCTGACACAGACTAAGCAACACAGCTACTAAACATGAATGTGCTGACATATTCCTAAAACGCAGATGTCCGCTAATTCCCTTGCATTCCCCATAAGAGCACAAGGCACCGATCTTATGCTTGCTAACAGCTGAGAATAAAGAGCTGTCGGAAAACCATATGTACATATTTTCATTCCTTTTTTAGCTGAAAGTTGCATTTCCACTTAATTTTAGGGGACGCTGTCACAGTTATTACGACAAAGAAGAAGAGGGAAGGGGAAAATAACTTCATAGGTCCACAGCATGATTATTGGAAAATTTCGAGTTTTTCATTAACTTTTATTGAAAAATCTTAGTATAAAAATTTATACTAATATTACTTATTATAGTTATATATCATGATATAATTATATGTTGTATATACAATTATATGTTATATATCATTCTGTGTCTCTCGTGACTCCAAGGGAAGGTTAAATGCGCCCCAATACTATGGCTCCTAAAGCCAATAAAAGGGGCACTATAGTGGTATACCATTCGTGTTTTGATAAATAAAGCTTGCCTGAAGGTCATTGCAAAGCAACCACACTAGTCAGCCATACGGGCCAGGCTGTGGTTGCACACACATTTAATCCCAGCAGCCACACTAGCTAGCCATAGAGGCCAGGCAGTGGTGGTGTAGGCCATTAATCCCAACTCTAGAGAGGAATATAAAACAGGAGAAGACAGGGCTCACTCTCAGTCTCATTCTGAGGATTTGTGGAGGTGGGATGGCCATTTCGGTTTGAGCTAGAGGTAAGAGCCTGTGGCTGGCTGGCTTGCTTCTCTGATTTTTCAGGTTGAACCCCAGTATCTGTCTCTGGGGTTTTATTATTCGTGCTACAAGGCACAGAGTTGCTTTCAGACCAAAGGATTCAAAGGAGAGGGCAGAGATGCCTGCTGGACATGCCCTCGGAGGCAGATGCCATTTCCTCGGGAAGTATATAGCACGTTTGCTGGCAAGTGAAATCTCCCTCTAGGGCAGGCAAGGGAGGACAATATGGACACGTCACCACCCACCATCTGTCGTGAAAACCAACACCAGCTAACAGGGAGGGCAGCTCAAATCCTGCCTCCACCCCCAGACTGACGTCAGCAACCCTTTTGCCTGACCTCCTGAAAGGCTGGCAGGGAGTGAGGGGAGAGGTGGGGATTATCTGCAGGGGAGTAAGGGGATCAAATTCGGGGTCACCCTGCCCAGATTGCTTGCACTTCTCTTACCACAACCCCAAAGCATCAGATTTTCGGTGTGAGATGAAGGAGCAAACCACGTCAGGTAAATAGAGGTCAGAGTAAAGAACCCAGAAAAGCAAGCCCCTTTATAGATGAGCAGACAGACTGTCGTGTCTTGATGTCTAAAATGTGAGAGAGCCAACCTAGGATTGGATAATAGCCAACACAAACAATTGAACAAACAAAAGAACCAGGCAAAACCAAGCATAATACAAATAGAAATCCCAGAATCAAGGTGGTTTGTGAGAGAAAAGGCATTCAGAACTGTCATGGAGAAAAGACTCGGCTTTTCCCCACTTGTAACAGAACTAGTATATGTAAGAAAAGCAGAAGACCTGGCCTCTGTGCTGCCCACCACAGGAAAGTTCTTTACTAGTTCAAGAAATCATTCTTCTCTGATTCATGGGTAGCATAAGTGGATGCTCTCAGAACAACAACAACAAAAAGATACATTTAAAAAGTCTGAGGCAAAGCCAAAGATGTGACAAACCTTAATAATAAAATTATTATATTTCCATCCCCAATACAGAAATTCTGAACCTCGAATTTCTAAGAGACCTGATCTGAGGAGTTTAGACCCAGACGGTGAATCCACGAAAGAGCTGGAATTATATTGTTATTTTCTTCTATCTTTCATCATTTCCTTAGGAAACTTAGAGCTGTGAAGTTTAGGTCTGTTCATTTGAAAAAAAGGCTAAGCCCCTGTGGGCGTTCCCCTGTCTATTTTAGGCATAGCTTCTGACTTCAGTAGCAGACACAGTCTCACAGCAAACTCCCTGATTCCCTGGCTCTTACAATCTTACTATTCCCTGACTTTAACAAGCCTTTATTCTGTAAGGTTCCCTTATCCTTAGGTGCTGGAATGTTTTCTGGATGTGTCCTTAGGACTGGGCTCCACAAGTACATTTTGGTTGATTGTAATGGTCTATATCTGTTGCAAAGACAATTTTCCTTAGTCTTCTCCAGCGAAGAGAACACCAATTAGTTATTCAAGACCAAATGGTCAGCCCTGAAAACATATATACAAGTAACATAATACAGACTGAGCAGGTTACAGCTAGGGATATAAATGCATATGCACATACATACATGTATGCAACAGCTCTTAATGAAAAAAGGGGCCATGAATTTTAAAGAGGGAGAGGAGAGACAGGAAAAATGATGTAATTA